ACCAATTTCTTTACTTGGTTGTTTCACACCAATTTCATTGTTAACCATCATTATAGATACTAATGAAGTATCAGGACGTATTGATTCAGCAAATTGATTCAGATCGATAAGACCTGATGGTTTAACAGGTAAGTAAGTAATATCAAACCCTTCTTCAGCAAGAACTCGACATGAATCAAGGACACATTTGTGTTCCTATTAAATATAATTGAATAAAATAAGTTATAATATAATGATTTAAGTTTTCTTTAAATAATCGAAAAAAAAATATATTTATTTTTTTAATACGTACAATTTGAGTTGTGATAATATGCTTCTTGTTAGTTTTATAAAATCGTGCAACGCCTTTAACACTAATGTTATTTGATTCTGTAGCACCTGAAGTAAAAATTATTTCTTTTGGATCTGCACCAATTAAATTGGCTACATGCTATCAATTAAAAAAAAATATAAATATCAAGTTTTTCAACCTTTTATATAAATTACAAATTTTTTATTAACTTACTACACGGGCTTGTTCAACTGCTTTCTCAGCTTCCCATCCGTATGCGTGAGTCCTTGAATGTGGATTACCATATTGTTGAGTCAAATATGGCATCATTGCATCAAGTACACGCGGATCAGTAGGAGTTGTAGCTTGTAAATCAAGATAAATCGGCCGATTTGGTGTTTTCACAGAAGTTGCTTCAAAACCCAAGGTAGATTTATTAGACGCAATGGCTAAACCCCTGGTAACATGTGAAATTCCTGAAGACCGATGCAATAAAGGGCGAAGCCCTGAAAAAGGCCGTACTACTCTGATAAACGAATGCATTTTTAATAATGTCTTTCCGCCTTTAATTTTAACTACTCCGATACGGCAATTTGCAAACAAAATAAAATTGTGTTTTGGTTATTGGCCATTAGCATTAACAAAAAAATTAAACAATCACATGAAATTAATCTGGTCAATGTTCCAATTGGTCTAATTCCAATTAAAAAATCACCCAATAACAATTGACTTGCTATGCACGTGATAGTATTTAACAAAATTTTTTCCGAAACGTGATTTTTAGCCAATTAGATCGAAAGATCAGGTGTAACGTAAAATCAAAACGCGAAAACAAAACAATCGAATAAGCGAAAGATTTAATGCAATAAATATCACCTTAGGGTTAGGATTAAGGGGCATAGGTTATACCAAAATTTCGCAAGGAATTTTTTTTGTTAGAACATACAAAGCAGTTTTATAAACAAAATTTCGAGTTATTGGCGATTTTTGTAAAAGGCTTAACTTTCATGTTACACCTGATCCTTCAATTTAATTGGCTAAAATCACGTGCCGGAAAAAATTTTGTGGGTGAGCTAGAGGGTTTAACAAAAGCTGTAACGGTAATGACTGCTGATGTAATCGAATCTTCGAACAGCAACCAAAACAGGATGATAGCTAGGTTACGTGTTGGCCAATTGCCACTGTGGTATGGACGTTTACGTAGAGTGACCCGGTAACACATACTGATACTAAATATAAATTAATCCACGTTTCTTTATGATTGGGGTTTTTCGACTTATAATAACTACTTTAATCAGCAAAGAAAATTCTAAAGTAATGGTTGTTATTTCCCCGTTATTTCTTGTTATTTTCCCGGGTGCACTTTAAATTTTTATATATTTGAAATAATTCTTTTAGTTTGCATTGTGATTTGTTTTTGGCAATCCTTTAGCCGTTGTAAGAGTGTTTTACTTAAACGAAGATCTTAAAATTCTCTTTAGAACACAATAGTTATTTAGAGCAAAGATCTTTTATAATTCTCTAAGAAATTCCTTTAATATGATTGTACAGTATTATTAAAGCGAAAATTCGTTTGCAATTCTCTTTATTACCTTTTTTTTTTGTCGTACTGATTAAGATATTTGAGTCGAAAAACGCCGTCATGATGTCATCTAAAACGAAGAATAACACCCTTATTTCCCGCTACGGGGAAATAAACCGGTAAATCTCAATCAACCGGGGCCCTTTGAGCTCCTGACTGATTGGGGGATTTACCTTTCATTCCCGCCTGCGCGGGAAATAACCCACCTGAATTTAAAGCGATGTAATTATTTAAATAATTTAAATAATATTTATTCGAGACAAACATGATCATGTAGTTTTGAAGGCCTCACTTGGTTAAAGTATTCTGCTGCATAGAGATGACTTTTATGAATTAATTATATTAAACAATTGAAAATCAAGAATTACAACCATTCATTCGTAAGGCAGTATTAGATCTAACAAACTTGAGTACAAACTTGATGCAATAAATATTTTTATTAGAAAATTTTTAACAAGTTCGCAGAATTTCAAGTGGTTAT